TGTCATTACGACCTCGACCGAGTCAACAGTGCCACGACAATCGCTAGCCGACAGGCGTACGCTCTCGAATTCTCGGCAAATGCACCTCCTAACAAGGAGAAATGCATCTTCATAGATGAGAGTGGTTTCAAGCTTCATCTGAGGCGAACTCAGGCTAGCTCAAGAAGAGTGACGCGCGCGAACGTCGTGTTACCCACAGTCAGAGGTCGCATGGTAACCCTGATTGTTGCAATGAATAACCAAGGCGTCATCCATTCAAAGATCATTAACGATGGCACCTGCAATGGTGCGAAGTTCTCAGCGTTCGTCGAGGAACTGGTGGCGCGTATAAGCTGCATAGTGGAGATGAACGGCGCGTGGCTGATCATGGACAATGCCAGGATCCATATGCCTGATGAGCTAAGGAGGATCCTTGGTTCGTCTTATCACCTGCAGTTTTTGCCGCTCTACTCGTACATGCTAAACCCGGTAGAACACGTCTTTACAAAGGTGAAAGCGTCGGCGAGACGCTTGCTTATTAACCTCACACCTGAGCAGACGCTGAGCACGGTCATTCAGGACAGCGTTGGGATGGTAACGCAGCAGGACTGCATGAACTGCGTTCTCAATACGATGATGAACCTGACGAAAGCGACAGCCGGACAACCCTTCGTCAACTGATCTTTGCTATGGTTACTGCCTTATTTTTTGTTAATACACCATTTTAATTTCAAAATATGCGTTTTCAATATTAACAGTTGGCTTAGCGTGTAAGAGCAGGACGGTCACCAAGAAGTCGAGAGCGTACGCCTGTCGGCTAGCGATTGTCGTGGCACTGTTGACTCGGTCGAGGTCGTAATGACACTTTTTGAGAGTTATCTTTAGTCTTCTGAGGGCGTTGAAGACAGAGGATACTGATAGGTTTATCCCATTCTCTCTCAGGCGCAGCTGCAGCTGTACCAACGTGTCCTCAGAGTGCCGTTCAACCGCTTCTTCGACGCGCTGCAATACATTGGGAGTCAGCTTCTCCCTATTGTTTCCACCGCAGGTGCGCTGTGTATTTGAGTCTTCTCGCTTGTAGGCATTAATGATGTTCCTTGCCGTACTCGCTTTAACACCGGCGACTTCAGCGGCTTCCCGAGTAGTTTTGCCGTTGACCAGCACAAGTTTTGTGAGAATTTCTCTTTGCGCAAATGATGTTCGTCTGCAGTGCCGTCGCGTCGGACACCAGCTCTCCTGTTGTTCGTCACTCATTTTGGTCGTTTCGTGCGGCACGGAGCTAATAAAGCTAAGTTGTGTTGAGTGGAACCATTATCGTATGCTCCGCTCCAATAGCGGTACCGCTGCATAGGTCGGTCCACACACCCAGACAAAACACACGAATTCCTATGGGGGGTGGGGGGTGTAGGGGAAAATAGGTCACCGATTTTGACCGAGGCGAACGGCACTCATGTCAAGAGAAGGGCTTACACAATCACCCGCTACGTACGCAGTTCGGTTACATTATCGTGACCACAATGTGGCCTGAACATCGTGTAATCGGCCCACTCCTCAGTAGTTGATATGTTGCAACAATAGGCTATAGATCTAGACTGGTTTTGCTGGGGGTCATTACAGCCTACGCTGATGCAATAACGTGGCAGTTGCGAAAGCTAATAGAGAGACAGGCGAAGCTGGGACACCGCCTACCTGCTTCATCCGACATGGTCCCATTGACCGAATCGGACAAGGTTCCCTCTAATGAGAATAACGGTGCACATTGAGATTGCGCATCGCAATCCACTCACAAAATGATTGATACACAATTAGATTCGGACGTCCGATTTTCCAATTGTCACACACCTACACAGGTTGATGCGTATGGGCACTGCAAACCAACTAGGCGAATGTCAATGGGGAGAGGGGAGCGTAGTTCAGAACTTCGGTCGCTGCTCACGATCAAGCAAGTGTTTTACAGTGTAGCCCGCTGCTTACACAATGCCGGTATATTAGCGTCATCACAATGTATATTCTGAACATCATTCAGCAGTCTTACTGCTCGTTTCTTACCAACAAATTGGCGAGTTGCTACTTAGATTGCAACGTGTCCAGTTTGGTTTGCAAAATGTCCAATGTGCTTTGCAAAATGTCCAATTTAAAGTGAAAATGGTCTATATATATATATATATATATATATATATATATATATATATATATATATATCGTATAATGGAGACGTCATTTGAATATTGTCAATGTGGGGGGAAGAAATAACGAAAGCGATGAGGGCGTTCCAAGATTGGCACACATGATGTGAAAAGAAATTCCGACAGCACTACAACCGGCTATACTGTTGGGTCAGCTTGAGCTGACGATATCTCAGATTCTGCTTCAGAAGGTGATGACAAACATGGTTTGGATTCCGCATGATCAAATATGTTATTTTTCAAACTGTCACGCAGGCGCGATATTATGTACTATAGATTACGAGGGTTTTCAGCTACAGTTGGTAGAGGAGATGAAACAGATCATTTATGTTTGTGGTCGCTCTTCGTTGGGGTACTTCAAATGTGGTGCGGTGTTTGTGTCAGGCGTGGATGGAGAATTCCAAGTAGGGTCTACTGCAGTAGTTGAGCATCTGGTAGAGTCAAAGCGCCCTAATGCCCTTTTTAATAGGCCAATGTGTTAAATGGCTTTTTAAATGCTTTCTCAGTCTGACGTGAACAGCCAGGATAATCATGTGCCAACACACCTAGGTTGCATTCAGTAGAAATGAGCTACAAAGCGTGATCCCCAGCATGTGCTCGTAAGCGGATTGACGATGTATGTCCAATGTCTTACAGCTGGTGGCGAAGGAATGAAGCAGATTCTGAGTCCTCCACTCGCATATGCTATCATGGTCACCCTGAAGTGCTACGTGGTCACTTGTTGGTTTGATGGCCTGCAATAACTTAACGTCATCAGCGAAGAGTAAGAAAGTGGAGGTAATCGCTAGATGGTTTATATAAATCAAGTATAGGCGTGGACTAAGCAGTGATCCCTGTGGTACTTTGCACTGAACATCAGTAAGTTCGGAGATGGCGTCGCGAACTCTCACATACAGATATCGTTGAAGCAGAACCGGGTCGTCAATTCCATAGCTCAAAAGCTTGTGAAGGAGGATGCATTTCAGAAATCCAGATAAACCGCATTAACGTCCGCACTACCATCGACCGTTTCAGTCTAACTGGAGCGAGCAAGTAGCAGGTTTGTGGTGCATGACCGGTTCTGGCGAAATCCATGTCGCCATGACGTTGCATTCTTCCAAATAATTCCTAAGCGATTCGGCTATAATAGCCTCCATGAGTTTGGAGAGCATCGGAAGAGGGTTAGGGGGTGATAGTTGGCCGGAACTGTGCGATTTCCCACCTTGTGAATGGGAGTGACGATTCCGTGCTTTCACAGTGTTGGAATCCGCATTTCATCGTGATATCGTAATAAATAAAAAATATAATAATGTGTCAGCTGTACGCCGTAACGGCGCTTCGCTGCCGCTCGACTAACACCAGTCGTGCGCGGGCTGAGTATACCGTGAGGACGCCCACCCCTACGGGGATTCGAACCGGTGACCTTATGGTTGCAAAGCAAACGTGCAGGCCACTCGGCCACCGGCCGACTCGTGATATCGTAGGAAGAACTGACAGTGCATCCACCAAATTCATTGCAGCTAACTTCAGCGGCTTTGGGCGGATTTTATCAGCATCAAAAGAAGTATAATCGCCAAGGGAAATTAGCCTCTGTAGAATATCTAGTCCTGGCGCCACTTCTTCATTAGAATGACTAAACAGATGACAACGGGTACGGATGCGCATACCTGGCAGAACTAAAATGCCTCCGTTTTGCTGATGTACTAATTAGCTTCAAGTGGATATAGCCATATAACTAGAGTAAAATGTCCTAGAGCATTTAAAGCACGTTAGTCCTGCCTTGATGACTGTAGCACACAAGTTGTATTCATCATACAGCTGGACCAAGTTCAATGATGAGGTGCACTATTGTGGTCTCGTGCAGGTTGTAAGGTCAATCAACTGTCCAATTTCCCAAAGCTCACATCGATGAGGGGATGAATCACGCGTCCAGTGTGCTCGCAATCGCTCGGCTGCAGCCGATGATAAGGTAAACACGCGCGCTTTGTTGGTTGGCGGGTCGATGGATGTCCGCTCCGACTGGACAGGAGTGTGTTTCTGAAACTGTAGCAAACCATATGCACAAACAGAATAAGAAAGCACTAGTAAACCCGATTCGAATGAGTGTATGGTGAGTACGCTGATAGGAAGTACAGAAAAATCCGAAAAAGTGGAACGTCAGAACTACGCGTCTGTCAGCGAGTGCGGAAGCTCGTTCATAGAACCTGGGGAAGAACAGAATTCACCTGGCGAACAACTCTGCGAACCAGTGTGCCCAGTAGACTCAGGCTCCCCAGTGTTCTCCAGAATTTCAAGTTACAGTAACTAAACGATGTCCAGAAAACTGCCACATCAAGGAGACACAAACAGTTCAACTGAAACGCGTTGAAAAGTCCGGGACATGGGTTTTGCTTCACGAACATTTTGTTGTTGTCACCAAATAAATGGAAGCAATGCGTTGAGTAAACGTGTTTTACGATAGGCTCGAAGCATATTCGTCAGGAACCAATCAATGAGAGCACCTGTCCCTTTGGATTACGCTTGTGACTAAATGGGCTTGGACACAGTAAACGAGAGCGTTCTACTGCAGCTAGTATTTATGGTAGTTTAACTATTACGACAGACAATAACACCGTAGTCCTCTAGGATCAACTGAAGGTTTGTCAGACTTTGTGCTCTGGTTTAGGAAGTGGCTGGGACAGCGAAAACACAAGACGAATAAGCTCATTTGGGTGCTTCTGTTCTCAATGTTTAACCAGAATCAAACGCAGCGGAAAGGGTGATCAACTTGGAGAGGAGGAATGGGAGAAATAAGACACTGCGTTGTAGTTGATCAACTAAAGGTGAGAGCTGGACCTGGATAGAACTTGATTGCGTTTAAACCCTAGTAAGTGCAATCAAACAGAACGTTGTGTAAAGATAAAGATCAAAAACAGAAAACACACCTTGAACGGCACTAGGCAAAGCCGATTCAGGAGACATGAGGGCGTTTAACACCTCAAGATTATCGGAACCGGCAGCTGTATCTTCCACATGGGGTTTCTCAACAACAGGTGACACCTAAGAAGAAAATAGCAAACAATACAGCAACGAAAGTGAAAATCGCAAACAAAATAGATGGTATGCAACTGTAATTGTTACGTACTACACAATATCCAGAAAGCACATGATAAGTGGTCAAATCAAGAAAACGAGGTATGCAAAATATTTGGGGAAAAGTATACAGGAAGAAGCAGAACATCTAAGGAACCCACGATTTCAATAAAAAACGATTTGAATCGATTGTGTGCAACCGAAGAATCAAGTGATTTAAAGGAATGAGCTGAGTGGAACCTGAAACAAAGTGATTAACGGCTTACACATTGGTAAATAAGCCAGAGCTATACGAAGACCGCTTGGCACAGCTGACTGAAGTTAATTGTTGGTTCTCAGAGTTCCCGACTCTTGATCATCATCATCATTAGACACATTAGCTAGAGGGGGGAAACAGCTCAGCTACTGTGTTGCAATACATAAAAGAGAAAAAAGAGCAAAATGCAAAATGTGCTAGCTAAGCTACCGGTAACGGATGGGTATCGGTCCGATAACCAACCGGCCGGCTATACAGCAGCGTAAAAAAATTATCCTGCAAAAGTATATAAGGCTAAATAGTGAGATCGTCATCATCATCATCATTATACACGTTAGCTAGAGGTGGGAAATACCTCAGCTACTGTGCCGTAATACATAAAAGAAAAGGAAAAAATACAACAGTTCCATGCCAGCTGAGCTAACAGCAATGGATGGGCACCCTTCGGGTAAGCTACCAGTCGGCTACTAGGCAAAAAGAAAAATTATTATGTAAAATTATAATACGCTACGAAAGGAGATCGTGGTTGGAGGATAAGACTAAAAAGGATGAGGAGGGACAAAGAAACTCACAGCGCGAACACCAATCAGGTCGGATCCTTGCCACGTCAGCAAGTGTATCCAGCCAAACGTGTTCATCGTCTTTTGGACCCCAACCAGGGAGCCGTGACATTCCAACGGAGGCCAGCTCCGAAGCGAGGGCCTTCATTCCTCTGGACCAAGTCATCGCTTTGCCACCCCTCATCTTCTTCCATACACATCCCCGGCGCAAAACAACGCACATCGCGGAAGTCGGTGGGCTGGCATGCGCAACCCATGGCTAAGACATCAGAGCCTGTTGCGTGAAATGACGGTGCTGAGCGGTTCAGTTCCTTTTGCTGTGCCGTAAACAAGGCGTCGAACACGCTCGTTAGTCACACGGTGTTCCCATCAGATGTGAGCCAAACTGCGAAGGCCCCAGTGGTCGAACGTACCGCTGCATTGTACACTCTACCCTTCAGGGTAAGATTGATGTCGCGCAGCCGCCATGGGTGGCGAAGGCTAGCAAAAGCACTTCGAGCATTTGATATACAGTTCGTGATCTCATCTTCAATCCCAAGGGAGCTGATACAACTTCCCAGGTAGTTGAATTTCTGAACGACTTCTAGCTGATCCTTACCAAAGATCAGCGCAGGAGCCGATCCCTGTCAATCTTGGAGGAAAGCTTTGCACTTCGATGGTGCAAAGCAAAGCCCGAAGCGGCTGACAGCCAGTGCTAACCTGTCCGGTGCTGATTGGCACGTCTGGGAGCTGTCACAGATGAGGGCAATGTCGTCTGCATACCCTGAGTCAAGAAGTCGTTCTCCTGGGAGTAGCTCCACACCTTCCAAGTCATGTCCTGTAAATGCAATCTCCATGACTTCGTCAATAGCGAAGTTGAATAGGAAAGGTGACAGCGGGCATCCTTGTCTCACACCGCTGGAGATATTGAAGGGTGGCGACAGCTTGCCGTAAGCCCTCACTCTGCCCGTGCTACGCACATATAATGCTAGGAGAATGTTTACATATTCCTCGGGCACACCTTTCCTGAGTAGACAATTCCAAAGGGCAAATCGATCAACCGAATCGAAGGCACCTTTGATGTCGAGTAACACGAAAAAACTAGGCCGCCAATTTGTGTGGCGGTGCTCCAACTACTGACGCAAGGTGAAGATGTGGTCGATGCAGCCACGACCCCGACGAAACCCGGCTTGCTCCTCACGAATCTGGCTTTCACGAGCGCCAGTCAGACTGTGAAGAATTATGGAGGTGATGGAGATTTATGGTTGCCGCATTCCGAACGCGAGCCTCCTTTGAAGATGGGAACAATAACGGAGCGGCTCCAGTCGGTTGGGACAGTTTCCTGCTCCCACAGTTTCACTAGTAACCAGTGTAAATGATCAACAAGAGCAGAGCCCCTGAATTTTGGATGAAGATCATCTCGTCCCGCGGAGTTGTTCAGGTTCAACAGTCCGATCTCACGTTCGACTTCTGAGCGAAAGGGTGGATGCAAAGGGACAGCTCACGAAGCAGGGGGATCACTGGCCGGCGAAGAATCGAACAATTTTGGCCGAAAAAACTGCTTTTCAAAATGCTCAGCCCAACGCTGCAAACGTTTTGACAAATTGTGGGTAGGCTGTCCACTCTCATCACAAATTGTTTCACTAACACCAGGTCTCCTGCTGCCCGTTTCCCGTATCAGACGGAGTAACTTACGATGGGTGCCAAGTGCAACGGCCACTTCCATCTCTGACGCACGAGGAGACCACCAAGATTCGCGGTCTCTCTTCAGGCTAGCACGAAGTCTTGCCCAGAGCTCTTTGCGAGTTTCATTGTGTTCGCTTCCAGCTGGGATAGGCCGGTGAGCATCGATAAGTCCTAGAGACTGCGAAGAGACTCAACAACCATGTTGGCTATTAGACATACCACATGAGGATTTGCCTGCTGCTAGTAAGGTCTGGTGAACATGCGACCAGTGACCTTCAATGGTCTCCAGTGAGCGCTTACTCAACTCGCATGTCAGCGCACTTCGATACGCATTCAGAACAGCTGACTTTGTCAGTTGGCTGGTGTCAATGCGCTCACAGCTTCGTCATGGGCGTCCGCCAAAACGCATCCACATGTCAGCACATACAAGTGCATTATCGGTGTCCACACATATGCTTCAAATCGAGCGACAGTTCTGGATGCAGTCTCTCCAGCGGTAATTGACTGCAATGTGATCGATTTGGGTCCAAAGCTGGTGGGCGCCAAGTCACCCTCCGGCCGTTGCTGTGTCGGAAGTTAGTGCTCGCAAGAAATAAGCGGGCATCTTCACACAAATGAAATAACCGCTCACTGTTATCATTCCAGGAGCCTACACCATACTTACCGCCAGATGCATTTCATCAGTGGACAACTTTCAAAGCTGTGCGTTCAGATCCCCGCCAGCACAACGGTGGCCGTGCTTCTTCTGTGGCGAAGGAGCTGGGTCAGTTGGCGGTAGAAGTCGTTTTTTACCGAATCATCGCTACAGTTTGTGGGCGCATAGGCAGCGATGATGAATAGACACCTAGTAGTCCCGCGCGAATTCGAAGCTTTGAACGAGCCAGCCAATCGGACCGCACACATCCGGCTACTGATTGGAATCCAATCAACCAGAGTAGCTTCAGCCCGGGGACTCAGGGCAATACCAACACCGGCTTGGCCGGTGCTCGAAGATGCATCGTCACCGGATAGGCGCAATGAGAAAGTGCTGCTAGTGTCACCTGAAGGGGATCGCAGAGTGATTTCAAAGCTCGAGTCTTGCAGGCGGGTCTCCGATAAGCAGCAGATATCGATCGAGAGGGTCTCTAATGTTCGGGAAAGTGCTGCCTGTTGACCGATCTGAAGCAATATGCGAACATTGAGGCATGACAATCTGAAGGAGGATCGAGGGCTCCAAATGGAAGCCGATGAACTGGAATGGACCGCTTGGTTAGACACGGGCTTGTCGACAGGACAGGAGTGACGCTCCGCGTTAGCATGTGAGTTGAAATTAGGATAAACGTTTAGTAAAGCAAGTTAGGGGAGGGCCAAGAATCGGAGGGTTGAAAACTGGGGGATAAAAGTGAAGTTGGAACAGGACCAAAAGGGAGAAAAAGCGCAAGAGGGAGGAATAAGAAGACGGGAAGGCTTGAGCAGTAGCGTCCAAACCCATGTCTACCCTGCTCGATGCAGCAGATAGGGCACTGTTGATCATCCTCTGCGGTGGCTAGAGTATCAGAAATTTGTTTGAAGAGAGATTCATTGTATTGCGTGGTCAGGATACTGTCAGGTTGCCCAGGCCTAGACAGGAGAACGATTAGGGTTCTCAACCAAAGCCTTTGGTTCAAAAACATTACCGCAAGGCAGCAGGTTTGAGGTTGGGCTACAAGGAGTCCGTTTTAAAGAATAAGGAGCCATCCTCGTTCCAACCCCCAACCTGCAGGATCAGGAGGCTGAGTTCGTTTGACCTCTAACCATTGACCAATCTGGTATGGGTGACTCCGAAGGTGCAAAAGCATCACCCAGCATAGCTCAATGGATCACTGAGGCACACAAACCATCTCACTACGGTAAGGTCCAGCCTCATCGTGGTTGGAGGGGAAGACTAAGAGAGATGGGGTGGGACAAAGAAACTCACAGCGAGAACGCCAATGAGGTCGACCCCTTGCCATGTCAGCAAGTGTATCCAGCCAAACGAGTTCATCGTCTTTCGGACCCCAACCAGGGAACCAAGACGTTCCAATGGAGGCCAGCTTCGAAGTGAGGGCCTTCATTCCTCTGGACCAAGTCATCGCTCGGCCACCCCTCCTCTTCTTCCATCCACACCTCCGGCGCGCAAACAACGCACATCGCGGGAGTCGGTAGTCTGCGCGGCGGCCAATGGTTGAGGTTCGAAAAAATAATCATGATTGTATGTGAGCTGAGATACTGTCAGGGCGCCCAGACCTAAATAGTAGAATGATTAGGGTCCTGAACCAAAGCCTTTGGCTCAAAGGCCTGTCCGCAAGGCAGCGAATGTGGCAACGATTCGGTTTAAAGAAATGGACGCCATCCCATTTCGAGCCCCAAACAGGAGACTGAGTTCGCCTGATCTCTAACCACTGATCAACCTGGCAGGAGTAGGTCCTAAGGGGCCGAAGGGCCGCACCCAGTATAGCTCAATGGGTCGACAAGGTACGAAGATCGTT